ATAATCTATAATCTTTTCTTATCAAATGTTGCACAGGAAGCCGCGAGTTCCTGGAAGCTGATCAGTCTTGAAGTTCTACCTTGTTAAGGAGACCTTTGTATTCTAAAGCCAGGCTGACTACCTTCCTTATTTCCACGTAAGCTAGTCTAACTACGGTCCGTTTCTGGCACTCAGTCCCAGCAATAGGCGCTGCTAACGCATGCTGGAATTCACGTGGTGCTGAAACACACTGCCCATTTTCTGTCCAGTTTTAAATATACCTTATTCAAAGTGAGATCACTGGAGAACGTATCTAAATTTCAAAATCATTGATGTTAATGTAAACAGCATTGTTTCTCATAGTTGAGGGTAAATAGTCCAGAGATCAAACAGGAAGGCCGCAAGGAAAATGAAGGAAGCATTGTTTTATGGCTTCTCTGTGTAGCCCATGAAAAAAAACACAAAAGGGAACTCTTGTCAGAAATGTTCATGAAATGAGCTCTATTTCATAATGTTCCATTCCTGTTAATATTTTAAATTTCAAATCAAGTATTTTAAGTAAATATGCAACGTTAGTTAGACTGATTAAAAGCAAAATTATGCCTGGATTTGAAGGAGGGAGCCCCTACTAATTAATACACAGACTTCTGATGAAGGCCCCAATAAAGCACCATGCTGTCTGCTTATGTCCAGAAAATACCTGTGACGTATTTAATCTCTGCAGTGAGTCGTTGAAAGATGTACATTTGTAATGTATGTACCTATTCAAAGTGTACATTTAGACGTCCATCGGTGTGGACTTTGAAGGAAACAGAGCATCCCGTTTTCCATATAGCTAGCCTCCAGTTAATCCTCACTGGAGAAACGACAAAGGCCAGCCAGCCAGAACTCCTGTGTCCCACTGTACGAGGTCTCCTGGGGAAGGGCACAGTCCTGTCTCAGGCTCCAAGCCCACTTGGTTCTTAGCTGCTTGTTATTATATCTTTATTCAAAAAAGTTTCTTTGCATTTAGATATGTGTGTGTGTGTGTGTGTGTGAGAGAGAGAGAGAGAGAGAGAGAGAGAGAGAGAGACTCGTGTACTATGGCACATGTCTGGATGTCAGGGGACCACCTTCAGGAGTCAGGTCTCGCCTTTGACCATGCAGGACCCAGGGTTGCCAGGCTTGACCCTCACACTGTTCCTTGGGTCAGCGTGGCTCTTCCCCGAAGTTATCCGACTGAAACAACATTTTTTTATGAACAAGGTTTAAAGTCATACTTCACCAGATAGATTGCTTTTCTGGGTCTTCTCAGAGCATGGTGAGGGAAAGCTGTTTTCCTCTTTTGTGGCCGCATATTAATATTGTTAGATGGCAAAGAAGAGAGTAAATGCCAGTGGGGGGTTACAGAAGCAATTCTATTCATTTAGCTTCTGTGAATGCCCTCCTACCCCGCCCCCAATCTTTGTTTAATGAAATATGTTTGAAGAGACGTAAATCTTTTACTCTTGTATTCGCAGGATTCTCATTTAATCAGACTGGTTTTCTTTTCCTTACCATAGATAAGTAAAATAAATAGTAAGATAAATATGATAGATTAAAAAATGTAGAAGACAATGAGAACAAATTAAAACGGTATCTCATTATCTCCCTCCCCCCATAGCATTTCCAAGTTATTTCTAGATTAAAAATTCATGCTCATAGCATGGAATTGTATGGAAGCTTTTTTTTTTTCATGTGGATGGACTGTGAATAGTGCTTTAAGTAAATAAATACATTATTTTATCTAAAGAGTAGACTGTTTATTTTATACTACAAGAATTTAAAGCTCCTCTGTTGCTGATGGTTGAATCCTTTATAAGGTATCGGCTTTAGTTACAAAGACCATAAATGCAAAACACAAATCAAGGCCAGGAGCCATTCAGGGGCCATAGAAACCCAATTTGGCCTATTTGTTTTTATCGTTTAGAACCGTGATTGCTCTGCAGAAAGTGATCATCTGGAAACATCAATGAGAATTCCAGGAGATTGAAGAGACTGTGGTCCCCATCTGATTTTTGTGTTCTCCTGGACTGTGAGGCCAGCTGTTGACTTAGGAGGCAATAACATCACGTGGGGCTGTTTTATCCCGGTAGACTTCAGCCTTTTGCCTCTATTCAAAGGGAGGAAAGTTAGCCTCGGGAAGAATTAACATTTACATGCTCCATCCGAATCTCTTAGATACATGCTCTGGGTGATGGAGTCCTTCCTTTGGCATCATCTAACTGGGTGAAAGCTGGAAAGAACACACTTGGATGGAGACCAAACCTGGCTCCTCTTGGAACCTGGCCAAGCGCTGGCAGGGCTGGGCTTCACAATATACTTATTACTGCAGACCAGACACATGTTGTTAATAGCTGTGTGGAGACTTATCAACAGGGGAGTCCCATAGCCAACACGTTAATGTTTATCAAACTATTTACCTTCACATTTTTCCTTCTCTAGGACGAATCTGCAATGGTATTCTTGTAGTGAATATGGTTATGCTTTATAGGTCACTGTCCAGGAGGCCATGGGAGTCAAGTGGTTCCAAAAGAGACTCGAGCCTCCCTGTCCAGCAATACATCAAATAGTGTCCCTACTCCTTCCAGTCTGCCCAAGCTAGAACATTGCAGTGACAGTCCGGGGATCTCTGTCCAGGGCCAGGCATTGCTGTTTCTATGGCAGACCTAGAGAAATAAAATCAGCAGTCTGACTCTTTCCCAGCATATTTTAATAGGAATAATCTTGGCTGTGGCCATTGCTAGACAAACTAATTACTTCTTCACACGTGCATGGCCCGTGTCTAGCTCACTTGGGGACTTGCAGTAGCTACATCTTGCCTCTTGTGGGATGACAACATGGGAGCCACATCCTTTTCAGAGGCCAGGTTTTTAAGGCACTTTGGGATATGTCTTATAATCACACGTGGTTTTCAAGTCCAGGCAGGAACCTAGCATTACGGAGCAGTTGGATCCTTTGGTAGACTTGTTAGGAAGCATTCTTCTCTTGAAATCTTGTCTCACTAGTGGCATAGACTTGATTGAAGGAGCTATCATCACCAAGAGGAGAGGCTTATATAAGAAAGCCATTCTCGCGGTGGCCATTCATTCTCAGAGATAAGTGGCTTCTCAAGCCAGGAGCAGAGTCTCAGGCCACAGAGAAGGTTCCCGAAGTTGCTCACATAGTGTCGAAGAACCAATGTGCATTTAGAGGAACCCTGATCCCCCATTTCCGGTTCCCTGGGAACTGTCTCAGGTTCTATGGCTCTGCTGACAACAATTATATCTGGCACATGAGCTCATATACAATATTTTTCACGTGAAGCTCTCTTTGGTCTAAAAGGCGAGCCAAATGGTTAGCTTGAAAGCTGAATAACAGTCTGATTCACCCCCCACCATCCAGTTTCCCCTTTATTTTACTTAGTAGAGTAATCTCAGTTAGCAGTGCCATTAGGGTCCTGCTTTGATGGGGTGGAAAAATACACACAGCATCTGATATTTCGGAGCGTGTGGGCTGCGATGAAGTTTAAGTGTGTTCTAGTGGAATATCTGTGTTGAAACAGCTGAAGATTTATCACTGCTTTTTTTTTAACTTAAGAATGGAGGAAATCGACCACTATGCGATAATTAAAAATAGCAACTCCCTGGGAAAGCAGGAGCCAAGTTTTTAAATGCCGCAGAAACACGGGGGTAGCATTCTGTAACCGAAATTGGGTAATTTATATCTATGTCACTTGGAGATCTGATATGAAGTTGAGTCAATGAATCATCCCATCGGCATACCATAAGCAGAGCAAAATTTATTTCCCTTTTGCCTGCAGAGTTTTAGCCAATTACATAATAAATCACCCTGCCTTTAAACAACCTAGGATAGACAGGCTTATCTGGGCTGGATGGATTGCGTGATGCTCCTGCCCCAGAGGGTGAATTCTACACTGCTTTAAAAGATGCCGGCAATGAGACAGCCTGGATTGCATTGCTTGTACTTTTCAGTGTTGGTCGTGGTGACAGCGCTAGGATGTCTCAAACTGTTGAAGGGTTCTCTTAAATACAGAGGAGCCAAACATGAGCTGACTTCATGCTGACTCCCAATATTCCAGAGGATGCCCGCGGCTGGTTCTACAGGCACCGTAGATAAAGACACACAGTCTACAGGAGAGAATCTGTGTAAGGACTTGCTGTTTACAGACCAAACAGGCATGGGCTTTTCTCTCTGGAGTATCCTGATAACGTTGAATCATAATATAAACATAATGCATCCAAGCCTTACTTGAGAAATTTAAATCCAGAGAGGTTAAGTGGCTTATCACAGATAATATATATAGTGAGTTGAATAACAAAAACTTAAGGTCTAATTTTTGTCTTGAGGACAATGCCTTATGAAGCGTTCATACTCCCACCGTGCTGGTGTGCTTATGAGACCGAGTGCTCTAAGCACATAAACATGCGTTTTAGAAGTATGTCCCTGGGAAGATACTTTGAATTAGTAATGTAATGGGGAACCTTATTGAACTTGTTAAAATGAAGCATTATCCAGTTTCAAGTGGAAAGGGTCAGACGCTCAGTGTAAATCTGAGTTGGGCAGCGATGGGGCAGTGGACGGTCCAGGACGAAGATGAAATCTATCATTTTGCAATTATGAGTATTCAGAGGACAGGACCTGCAGTTGAGGAGGGATGATAGTGAGAAGGGAGGAGCCTTAGGGTGGGTGACCTGTGAGCACAGCCTGGTGGATGCTGTCTCATGTGCCGGTGGTAGACTTTCTTAAGAAATTGTCCCTACTGTCGCTTTAAGTGAACTGAAGCTGAGTCTTGCTCTTAATATTTATCTTACCTGGCAGGGCACCCGTTTGTAACCTAGGTCTCCTTTGGAGCCTCCTGATATGAATTCTCACAGTAACCTGTCTTCTGATACAGTGGTAAGGTCAGTCTCAGGCGAGCTTCTTTTTGGATGACCGCACGCTCTGGACGGAGTTCCAGAAGTTCCTGAATTTGAGTTTCCTGCAAGAGAGTGACCAGTCTTTTCTGCTTGCTTTGCAGGATCCTTCCAACCAAAAATGCGGCGGCCGGAAGAAGACGGTGTCCTTCAGCAGCATGCCTTCGGAGAAGAAGATCAGCAGCGCCAACGACTGCATCAGCTTCATGCAGGCCGGCTGCGAGCTGAAGAAAGTGCGGCCCAACTCTCGCATCTACAACCGGTTCTTCACCCTGGACATCGACCTCCAGGCGCTGCGCTGGGAACCCTCCAAGAAAGACCTCGAGAAAGCCAAGCTGGATATTTCTGCCATCAAGGAGATCAGGCTGGGCAAGAACACGGAGACCTTCAGGAACAACGGCCTTGCTGACCAGATCTGCGAAGACTGCGCCTTCTCCATCCTCCACGGGGAAAACTACGAACCTCTGGACCTGGTTGCCAATTCGGCGGATGTGGCAAACATCTGGGTGTCAGGCTTACGGTACCTGGTCTCGCGCAGTAAGCAGCCGCTTGATTTTATGGAGGGGAACCAGAACACACCGCGGTTCATGTGGCTGAAAACCGTGTTTGAAGCCGCCGATGTGGACGGGAACGGGATCATGTTGGAAGACACTTCCGTGGAGCTAATAAAACAACTCAACCCTACTCTGAAGGAGTCTAAGATCAGGTTAAAGTTCAAAGAAATCCAGAAGAGCAAGGAAAAACTGACCACCCGGGTTACAGAGGAGGAATTTTGCGAAGCTTTTTGTGAACTGTGCACCAGGCCGGAAGTGTATTTCTTACTGGTGCAGATATCCAAGAACAAAGAATATCTGGATGCTGATGACCTCATGCTCTTTTTAGAAGCCGAGCAAGGGGTCCCCCACATCACTGAGGATATGTGCTTGGACATCATTAGGAGATACGAGCTTTCGGAAGAGGGCCGACAGAAAGGGTTTCTTGCTATTGATGGCTTTACCCAGTATTTATTATCTCCAGAATGTGACATCTTTGATCCAGAACAAAAGAAGGTCGCCCAAGATATGACCCAGCCCTTATCTCACTACTACATCAACGCCTCTCACAATACCTACCTGATAGAAGATCAGTTCAGGGGGCCGGCCGATATCAACGGGTACGTGAGGGCTTTGAAGATGGGGTGCCGGAGCATCGAGCTGGACGTGAGCGACGGTTCAGAGGACGAGCCCATCCTTTGCAATCGGAACAACATGGCCACGCCCCTTTCCGTCCGGAGTGTTCTGGAGGTGATAAATAAGTTTGCCTTCGTCGCTTCCGAGTATCCTCTCTTTCTCTGCTTGGGGAATCACTGTTCTCTGCCGCAGCAGAGGGTCATGGTCCAGCAGATGAAAAAGGTGTTCGGCAGCAAACTCTACACAGAGGCGCCTTTGCCGTCGGAGTCCTACCTCCCGTCTCCCGAAAAACTAAAAAATAGGATCATCGTGAAGGGAAAGAAACTGCCTGCAGAGTCGGATCTGCTGGAAGGGGAGGTGACAGATGAGGATGAAGAGGCTGAAATGTCGCGGAGGATGTCCGGGGATTACAACGGTGAGCAGAAGCACGTTTGGCTCTGCCGGGAGCTCTCCGATTTGGTATCCATCTGTAAATCTGTCCAGCACCGGGATTTTGAACTGTCTATGAAAACCCAGAATTACTGGGAGATCTGTTCCTTCAGCGAAACGGAGGCCAGCCGGATCGCCAACGAATACCCGGAGGACTTTGTGAACTACAACAAGAGGTTCTTGTCCAGGGTCTACCCTAGCGCCATGCGGATAGATTCCAGCAACCCGAACCCGCAGGACTTCTGGAACTGCGGCTGTCAGATCGTCGCCATGAATTTCCAGACCCCGGGCCCAATGATGGACCTCCACACGGGCTGGTTTCTCCAAAACGGAGGGTGCGGCTATGTCCTGAGGCCGTCGGTTATGCGAGACGAGGTTTCCTACTTCAGCGCCAACACGAAGGGCATTGTACCCGGAGTGTCTCCCCTGGTCCTTCATATCAAGATCATCAGCGGTCAGAACTTTCCAAAGCCCAAGGGGGCCTGTGCCAAAGGGGATGTCATCGACCCCTATGTCTGTGTGGAGATTCACGGAATTCCCGCCGACTGCTCTGAGCAAAGGACTAAAACTGTCCAGCAGAACAGCGATAATCCCATTTTTGATGAAACCTTCGAGTTTCAAGTCAACCTCCCTGAGCTGACCATGGTCCGTTTTGTGGTTTTGGATGATGATTACATCGGAGATGAGTTCATAGGGCAGTACACGATACCGTTCGAATGCCTGCAGCCCGGATACCGGCACGTACCCCTGCGTTCCTTTGTGGGGGATATCATGGAGCACGTGACCCTTTTTGTCCACATAGCGATAACCAATCGCAGCGGAGGAGGAAAAGCCCAGAAGCGCAGCCTTTCTGTGAGGATGGGCAAGAAGGTTCGGGAATATACCATGCTCAGGAATATCGGGCTGAAAACCATAGACGATATATTCAAAATAGCCGTTCATCCCCTACGAGAAGCCATAGACATGAGGGAGAACATGCAGGTAGGGAAACAGCCCCACCTTCCTCCGCTGCCTCTTTTTATTCACACCCACTTACTTAAACTCGCGACTGTTGTGGTTTGCGAACTGCCGGTTTGCGCATGATCGGAAATACTGTGCCCGTGCCGATCTCTGCGCCACCGAAATATGCTTCTTGTGTCTCGTTCTCCAGACTGTTTATTTGCACATTCCTGTCCGTCAATGACTACGTGCTAAAATATTGAAAAGATAACCCAGCATTTTGCTATATTGATGCACCACTAACTGGCCAAACTCCGCCTTGCATCCACAATCAGCCACCACCTGCTTTATCACAGGAGCCAGGGAACATAATAAGAAGTCGTGTGTGGCCGATGTGCCTGTAACCCCTTGCTGAGTGGGGTGCAGAGACAGCAAGTGTCTGGGGCTTGCTGACCACCAGTCTAGCTCCAGGTTCAGTGAGAAAACCTGTCTCAAAAGAGTAAGGTGGAAAGAGAGCAAATAGGACATCCTGGGTTGTCCTCTGGCACCTGTGTGGGACACTCATACCCATCTGATGCACGTGTGTATGTGTGTGTGCATGCGCACACTTGCACACACATAAATACACAATACACATAAATAAACATACACACACCCTCATGTGGGTAGCCTATAAAATATATAACCAGACGTATACATGTGATTTGAAAGCTTAAATGTAAAATACTTGCTGATATGGATATAGGAGAGAATTAGAAGTCAAATGTTCGAAAGCTGATACCCATAACATTTCTAGTTATTTAAATGTGCACTAGCAAATTCATAGCCACAAGAGGAAACACAGCTAAACAGACAAAAGTCAACACTTAAACTTTTAAAAGATATGTTTAGCCTTCTCCTAGAAAGGTAACTTAATTGACAGAACGTGGCCCCTGCTGTGCATCTGTCCCCGTGTGGTCCTGAACAGGCGACTGGCGTCTCTCAATATCAGGTTTTCTGCATCAGGCAGGACTATGAGACTTACACCCGAGGGCTGTTTGAGAGCTGAGTGGGAACCAGAAGTGGCTGCCCAGTGGACAGGAGAAACCCAGCGTACCCTTTCCTTCCTCGAGATGCATAAGCAGAGATGCCAAATGCCCTTTCCATGTGACTTAGCCTAGTTCCCTGAGGATAGCATTTTAAAGACCCGAGTGGAGAAGTCCCCACTAAGAGCTTACGTTGCAAAGTGAGAATCATTTGGTTTATTTTATTCCTTACGCTAACATTTTTCTAACAATACTAACCCATCCAGAAGCTTTGCACTCAAGAAACCAGACACGTCAGAAGACATTATTTCGCAGATCTTGCAGTTAATAAGCGACTAAGTTAGACTTTAAACCCAAGGGTGCCTGATGCCAAAAATCCACTATAATGCATGCAAAGCAGAACCATCAGGCTGTGCCTTTGTGAAATCTTAATATTAACTCCAGAGAACTTCTTCAAATAACCAAACGTAGGGAAAGGACGGTATGAAACTCACAGCTTAGCACCTGCGATCAGATTAGGTTTATGTTCAATTCAAGGTGGCTTGCTTAACCCCTTTGTCAAAAATTGACTCCAAATATGCTATTATCGTTTATGTAATCTTTCCTTACATAAATTCAACATTATTATAAAGCCCTGTGCTAGATTACCTATGAGCAATTTCTATACTTCACTGTGTTAAAAGTTGATCCTTTGTATTTCTGTGTAATTTTTGTTTTGTTTTGTTTTTGGTTTTTGGTTTTTTTGAGACAGGGTTTTTTTCTCTGTAGCTTTTGGAGCCTGTCCTGGAACTAGATCTTGTAGACCAGGCTGGCCTCAAACTTACAGAGATCAGCCTGCCTCTGCCTCCCGAGTGCTGGGATTAAAGGTGTGCGCCACCACCGGGCTTTCTGTGTAATTCTTAAACCACAGCCTCTATCCCATCTCTGTAGAATATATCTTGAGAAGCGTATTTGGCTGGAGTGATGGCTCAGCCAGAAAAGTACTTGCTGGACAGGCATAAGGCCTCGTGTTCAGATCTCTAGAACTCACTTAGGAGCTGGGTGCTGGGGGCAGCCCTCCTGGGATCCCAGTGCGTTCAAGAGGTCAAGACTGGGGAACGGGGAGGTCACCGGAGCAAGATGGTGAGCTAGATCCCCTAAACCCAGGATTCCTGGATCGAGTAGGAGACCCTGCCTCAGTCTATGATGAGTGATCTGAGAAAACACCCAGGTCTATGCATACATGCCCCCACACATAGAAACACACACACACACGCACATGTATGCACACCACATGCACACACACAAAAGAAGAACAGTTTATAAGGCTTTTGCAGGTAGTGTTAATAATTCATGGTTTCCTAACAAAGAAGTTTGGGTAAAGGATTATTTAGAGGGTAATCTGTAAAAGAAAAATAAAAACACCATGGTAATTAATAAATTCATGAGACATTCAGTAGGTTAGAGGATGTTCATTATTAATAAATGTGAAACAGCCATAATTTCTATTCCAAGTTACTACTCTAGCATTGAGCACATTCATAATAGCCTTGGAGCGCCTAAAATGTATCACTGCCTCATTAAGGAAAAGAAATTAAAAAACACATTCCATCGTGTAATTTACCCAAGAGTGAGCCCAGATTTGAATAATCGACTTCTTTCTCCCTCTGTCTTCTGTCATTCCTCTCTGTCATATGAACTTGACTCTTAGCCTGTCTATCTTGTGAGTCTCTCTCTCTCCCTCTCTTTCTCTCTCGCTCTCTCTGTCTTTCTCGTGTGCCCCTGTGTATGTCTGTCCCTGTGTGCCCCCAATGAAGAGCTTTTGCTGTGTCTTAATTGAATAGCACACGCAGCATCCCATGGTAAGGCTGGGAGACCTAACAGGAAGCTTTAATAGAGTTCTCCAAGGGATTAAGTCACTCACTGCATCTGACCCAGCTGACTCAGACAGCAAACACACAAAGGCTATCAGGCAATGTCCATAGGTTGTCACTAACCTTTATGACAGATATTCATTTTATAAGGTTGCTTTCAACCTGTTTGCTATTTCCAGCATTTATTACTATCACATATATACATCCATGGGTTACCCTTGGATGTATGGAAGAGAAGAAAATTTCAGGATCAACTATGAATCAGCTTAGGTGTAAAAGGTGGTTATATGTGACATCAGCAAGTAAGGTTGGTTGTTATTTTACTTCCTTAGAAGTGCAATGCATTTTCTGTGTGCAAGGGACTTTTCTGATGGACTGATAAGTTAATCTTACTGGTCGATCAGATGGAGGCTGGTGAGCAATGATAGCCCTCAGCCTTGAGATGCTAAGAGAGATGGCCTCTCACCCCATAGCGGGATGCTTTCCTGAGGTCGAATGCAGGGTTCATATCTAGGCACTGCGCGTGTGTGTTTGTGGATTCAGTTGCTATGTTTGAGAAGCATGGAGGAGCCTGGAGTCATAATCTCCTTTGTTTCTGATGGATGTCTGTGGCCATTGGTAAACGCTAGGACCCACGGTTCAGGCTGAGGCCGTGAGTCAGTGATCTGTGTTCCTTCTGCATGTCACAGCAGCTGGGGTTGGCTGTGGTCCAGGCTGCTCTTCACTGCACTTGTCTCTAAGGGTGTAACTTGGTGAACGGACTTGAGCGTCAACCGGGACGCAGCGCCCTGGGGTCAGACGTGTGACTCTCTTGTTTTCTCCTCGTAGAACGCCATAGTGTCTGTTAAGGAGCTGTGCGGACTCCCTCCGATTGCCAGTCTGAAGCAGTGCCTGTTAACCCTGTCCTCTCGTCTCATCACCAGCGACAGTGCCCCCTCCGTGTCTCTTGTGATGAAGGACAGCTTTCCTTACCTGGAGCCTCTGGGTACCATGCCGGATGTGCAGAAGAAGATGCTGGCTGCATATGACCTGGTAGGCTATGGCTGTTGCAACTTTCCGCTCCTTCCCCGCATCTATGGAAAGCCCTAAAAGCAAAGGTTCTTGGGTAGTCGTCCAATGACCAGGGCAGTTACTGCCTGTGAAATATGGCTGGAGGTGGCAGTCAGAGCTCACCATTCAGCAACTGTCAAGTCCCGGTGAGACCGCTGGGGACATGGTAGATTGGGCAATCCCTGCTCTGACAAAGGGTAAATGTCTTCTCCAGGCCTCAGAAGCACGCCTCCTTTTCTTCTGGATGATGTTCCTGACAGGGAGAGACTCGGCTCTCAGGGCTGTTCAGTGATGGATGGGACAAAAGGCTTGCCTGGATGCCGGTTCTAAGCGAATGATGCTCTTTGATTTTATTCTGACTATGTAATAGAATTTGCGTAGTGATTAGATTTGGGGATAGCTTTATTTCTGTGTCTAGTGCTGTAAACAAAATTAAAAAGCAGATGACAAAATAGATAGCAAAACTGATTAGGTATAAATAAACATCTCAGCCGGAGGGTTGCTTGCAAGCCAGCCAGAGGAGGAAGGTGTAGAAATGCCTTATGTCAGTCAAAATGAACTTCTCCCCCATGCGATGCACAAAATTTTCAGGTAATAGGTTAAAGCAAAATAAAAACTAAAATAATGTATCTTTTAAACAGCAGCCTGATTATAGCTTAAAATGCAAACTTTCATTCAGAAATTTAGACAGCAGTTATCTGTGGGATTTTTTTTTAGGTGCCCAAGTTCCTTTTAATTGTCTCTTCTTCTATTCCTAGAATATAGATAGCCCTTAGCTCCAAGGTCCAAATGGCTACCCACTCTCTACTTGCAACATCTGCATTCCACTCGTCTGGAACAATCTGAGAGGACACACCTTCCTTCTGCTAGGATGTTATTTTCTGAAATTATAGACAAAAAAAATATTACTTTCCTTTCCTGTTCGTCAGCCTGGAGTTGTTACAGAGCCACCGTTAATTACAAAACGAAATCTAAAATGTCATTTCCAGGGGACTGAAAGTCGTGTCTTCCGTTACTCAGAAGTAGGAGAGACTGGCCATCAGGCGACGGCACAGACTCTGTTCCAGAGGGCAGCAGGCAGCTCCTTTCCTGAACTGCCATCAGTGACGTGTGCGGCACATTTCGTTGTAAAACACATTTCCATTTAGATACGTGAATGTATTAAATTAAGCATGGCTGTATGCCCTGTAGTCTTGGCGACTCCAGGAGATTGAAGCAAGGCAGTTGCTTGAGCCCAAATAATCAAGACTGTCCAGTCGTGAGAAGACAATGAGACCCCACGTCTTGGAAGTAACGTATGAGATATTCCCCTACCGTTAAGCCATCAGCTATGCCCTGCCGCTTTAACCGTGGTGCTTCCAATCAGAAATGGAAGAAGACAGGGGGCTGCAGAGGTAGCTTGGAGAGCAAAGTGTTTACTATGCAAGCGTGAGGTCCTGAGTTTGAATCTCCAGTGCCCACTTAAAATGCCACGTGAGACCGCACACATCTGTGACCACAGCGCTGGGGAGTGGAGGCAAGTGGAGGTGGTCTGGCCTGCCATTGAGCCCAAAGAGTGAGCACCAGGTTCCGTAAAAGATGTGCTCGCTTCTCAAAATATGATAGAATGCAATGTTAATCTGCAGTCCTTGCCTCTGTATGCAAGGATGTACACACACACACACACACACACACACACACACACACACACAGAATTGAAGAAAACTGATACTTATATTTCCTGGCCTATAGTGCAAAAATAAATTGCTATCTACATTGTTGGAGAGACGTCGGATAAAAAACATCAAATGCTTGTTCATTTGATCTATGTCTTTCTTCTCTTTAGATTTATTGTTAGGGTTTATAGACACATAATTATTGGATCTTCATAATGTTGGTATGGAGGGATGAGCTAAACTATGAACAGGAACCCAGGACCTGGAGAGATGGCTCAGTAGTTCAGAACTGTGGCTGCCTTTGCAAAGGAGCTGGGTGCCGTTCCCAGCGCCTCCTTGGAAGCTCACATCTGTTTATAACTCCAGCTCTAGGGGATCCCACGTCCTCTTCTGACTTCCATGGGCACCGACACCCATGTGACATAATTTATACACCTACACAGCTAAAAATAAAATATTTTTTAAAGGCTAGGAATCCACCAAACAGGCTCTTTGAAGCTGTCAAAATCAGTTGTCAGGAGGCACAGTAAGAGTATGGAGGATAAAGCAAGACGCTTTGTGAAGCAGTCTGGTTATAATAATGTATGTACACGTGAGATTTACATGACATTTGTGTGTATATGCACACACAAAGCACACAGGATGCTAGGAAGACATTAACAGCGCTTACTTTTGTTTGTCGCGAGTGAATTTTATTTTCTTATTTCTTCTTTTCTACATTCTGCTTCCTGTATTTACCGAATTCTTTTTAACAAACACGAAGAATTTTATGATTGAATAAAATAACTGTCAATTAAGAAAAGGCTGATATTTTGCCATTAAGTGAAAGGGGAGTCGCGCCACTGAATGCACTCTGCACACAAATGCTGGGATGGGCCAGACTGGGGGAGGCCCGCCTGCCGCCTGTGCCTCATTTTTTTTGTGAAATCAATTTTTCATCATGAAAGTGGGGATTGAAAGCTGTTCGGTGAATAGGTATAATTGCCACCTAAGAGGTGAAATTAGGGTACCAGTTGCCATAGAGACAGACAGTAGACATCACTTATTCCCTTGTAAGCTAAGACAGGAAAATAAGCCTTTTCGAGGGCAGTCAGCCCCGGGAGCTGGGTCCGCATTGAGCCCGAACGGCTCCTGGGTTGTGGTCGGGCAGCGTCTGCCTTACATCCCGAGTGTCTGATGGTGTCATGTCCTGGCCATTTTACCCGATAAGCCCAAATCTTAACATTAACCTTTCTCTCATCTCTGTTTCTAAAACACAGCTTATAACTGTAGGCAGATCAGGACTTTTACAAAACTGAAATGGCTTATCACAAAAAAACCAGAAATCCTTAAATGAAGTCCAGTTATAATTCTCCGTGGAAATGGCTTCTCATTTCGCTAGGAAATGGAGGGAAAATAGCCTGCTCCAAGTTGTGCAACCTGTGCAACTAGTTTGCTGCGCCTTGTGATGGCGCTCAGGGCGAGACGGGATGGCTGCGATGCCACTGACCGCGAGCTCTCTCGGTGGGCATCTTGTTTGCGGTCCACGAGTGTCTGTGTTCATTTTGATAAGGTTTCCTGAGATACTGTCCAGACCCAGAGCAATCAATCATGTAAAAACATGGACTGGATCTTTCACAACACTTCATCAAATTCTGTGGTGGCTTCGGATTTAAATAAGTTGGAAAGCGCTGACTGACGTCATCAGGGGCTCTGTGATCTAACAGCTCCGCAGCCTTTACCACGCTCCTCACGCTCCCCCCAGACCACACTGATTCTGACTCCAGGCCGTCAGGAACCACACTGCCTTTGTCCTTGCGATGTTCTGTCCTTGCCTGGAAAATCGCACCTTATCTCTTCATTCTTAGCCGATCATTTCCTGAGAGACCTTTCCCCAATTGTTAACCAACCTGCTCTTCCATCTCCCAGGTGTTTCCCCACCATGTTTTATAAAACAGGTTTCAGTAAGAAAGCATCATTTATTGACCGTGTGCACTGCATCAATTCACTTCCTCTTTTGACCTACCTGGGTCTATGTCCTTAGCCTCAACATTCCTCAAGGGCCAAACACATTTTGGGTGCCTTTGCTCTACAGGGTGTCGTGTGACATGCTGGGGGTCGGCCTTCCAAAGTGGGTGGTTCTAACGGGAAGGCAAAAGTTAGCAATGAAGAGGGGAGGCACAGAGACACACAGCTGAGAGAGACCAGTGGCTACTTTTTGTCCTGAGATGGACTCTAAAGACTGATGAGACTTCCTGGGGACCCGCGGGCACCTCCCGCACCTCAGCCACCCCACCCTGGCTTCCCTGGCCCTTGGCAGAATTGCACTTACAAATAACTGGGAAAGGAAAAAGCTTTAGGTGCTCTTTTCTTTGGATGGCTGAGTGTCTACCCTGCTAATGTTTCGCCAGCCTCATTTTTCATGCATAGTTAAGAAGCATTTGCTTAACATATTCGAACTTCTTATGGGTTTTAAATTACTATGGGAGATCTTTTGGGCAGTTTGTGTCCTGAACGCGCCATTCAGAGGGGGACTAGCTATCGGGGACTGCAGCTGTAAAATGCCCACCACCAGAGCACTCTTCCAAGGTGACTTCTGGGCTGAATTATTTAACATTAGCCTAAAAGTTAACTCACTTTACTCCGGCAGGAGCAACAGAATTTCTGATGATGAAGATGTTGAGCGCTCTAGCGAGCACGCCTTGAGGGTTAATCGTTTACTAAATCAGTTGGGTTGTGATTTGGAAAGCGGGTTGTGCTGGCACAAGAAGAAACAGCAAGAAGAAATTAACTGCCATATAAGTGTATTTGGCAACTGAACTCGTGGAGAGTACCACAATTAGGCTAAGAGTAATGGGTTGGATTAACCATACTGTCTAATGTGAGTGTTATTACCCAAAAAATAGTTTCAGGATGGAAAGACATTGTCTGTAGTTTCCTAAAGTAGCATCTCTCTCTCTCTCTCTCTCTCTCTCTCTCTCTCTCTCTCCTCCTCCTCCTCCTCCTCCTCTCTCTCCATGCACACACACACACACACACACACACACACACACACACACACACACAACTCTATGTGCTTGGAGAGGTCAGAAGAGCATGTTGGATCTGCTGGAGCTGGAGTTACAGGAGGCTGTGAGCTGTCTGACTTGGGTGCTGGAACCCACATTTGAAGGAAGCAGCATGTACCCTTAATTGCTGACCCCTCTCTCCAGCTCCCCTCTCTCCCCCCACAATATAATTTTGCTTATTGAAATTGAAGTCGAAATGAGTAAATAAATCAAAGGTATTCTTCTCCCAACCCTGTCTCATTCTAAAGTTTGTGTAATTTTTTTTTATTAGTTTGAGAAC